TTATGAATTTGGATGCATCAGAGTTTGGTGCATATATGTTAAGCATTGTAATATCTTCTTGGTTAACTGTTCCTTTGATCAGAATGAAGTGACTCTCCTTATCTCTCCTGATTAGTTTTACTTTGAAGTCTATTTTGTCAGATATTAGAATTGTAACCCCTGCTTGTTTCTTAGTGCCATTTGCTTGGAATATTCTTTTCCATCCTTTTACCTTAAGGTAGTGCCTGTCCTTGAAGGTGAGATCGGTTTCTTGCAGACAGCCAAGAGGTGGACTTTGTTTCTTAATCCATTTAGCCTGTGTCTTTTGACTGGGGAGTTCAGCCCATTGATATTTAAGTTTATTGTTGAAAGATGTGTATTGGTTGCTGTCATTCTGATTGCTGTTTGTGTTCTCTGTCTAATTTTGTGTTTCCTAGATTATCCCTTTATTTTCTTTCATTGTCCCTGGGGTATAGTTGTTTCTCTGCTCTCTGTATTGCTTCAAGTATTCTTTGAAGGGCTGGCTTTGTGGACATGTATTCTTTCAGGCTATTCATGTCACTGGAGATTTTTCTTTCCTCCTCAACTATAATAGACATTTTTGCTGGGTAGAGTATTCTGGGCTGGCACATATTGTCATGGAGAACTGGGAATACCTTGGTCCAGGCTCTTCTGTCTTTCATAGTTTGCATTGATAAGTCAGCTGTAATTATGATGGGCTTTCCTTTATATGTAATCTGTTGTTTTTCTTTAGCTGCTTTCAGTATTCTCTTTGTTCTGTACATTTAATGTTTTTACTATGATATGTCATGGGGAGTTTCTTTTCTGACCCTGTCTATTTGGTGTTCTATGTGCTTCCTGTATTTGTATGGGGATGTCTTTCCTTAATTTCAGGAAATTCTCTTCTACAATCCTGTTTATGATCTGGTCAATATCATTAGCCTGAAATTCTTCTCCTTCCTCTATTCCTATGATCTGAAGATTTGGCCTTTTCATGGTATCCAAAATTTCTTGCATATTCCATTCCTGTGTTTTTTTTTAAAAAAATTCCATAATCTTTGCTTGAATGGTCCAGCTCTTCAACATTATCCTCCAGTGTTGATATTCTGTTTTCCATTTCATTCATTCTAGCAGTTTGGCTTTCCCCGGTTCTTTCAAGTTGGCTTGTTGAGTTTTGCACTTCTTTCTTCATTTCTGCCTGAGTTTTCTTCAGTGTGTCTACCTCTTTTGTAAATTCATTCAGAAGTTATCCCTATCTTATTTTAGTTCTTTGATTTGTTTGTTTGTGTATTCTTTAAATTCATTGAATTCCTTGATCATGTTTATGATTGTTCTTTTGATTTCAATGTCCTGGGTTATCTCTAGAGGGTTCTCCTTTTAGAACTCTTCTACAGGACTGGTGGAGTTTGGTGGAGACATAGTGTTTTGGCTTTCCATTTTATTATTCTTCCCGTGTTTCCCTCATTTCTTTTTTCCTTCACCTTTCTTACTCAGTTTCTGTCTTGCTTTATTTTTCTCTTACATATCTTTATAAGCTATGAAGATTTTTAAATATGGGACAAAAAATCATGAATAAATACTGATAGCAGATATGAAATAAGGAACTTAGAGAAAAACTCACAGCCTGTAATGTTTTGGGGACGCCTCAGCCAAAGTCCCATCCAATTCAGGTTCCAGTCAGATATACTCAGGCTTCCTTCACCATGTGAGGGAGGACAGAACTTGGCACTGTATGGCAGTCTGCTGAGATCAGAGCCGCTACAACCAATAGAGGTTGAAACCCACCCTCTCAGGCTGTCTCCTAGGATCTCAGCCTTAGCCTACCAAAGCCATATCTGCCCTGGGGTCTTGGGAGGGGCCTCACAAAATCCCAGGTAGGGGGATGGGTTTGGCACAGTTAGGGGATCCAGGGACTCTCAGGCAGCTACCTGTGTTCTCAGGCCCTCTGCCAGAGGGAGGCCAGAACTCAGCACTCTCTGGCGGTCTAGGGTTGGGATTTCTTACCCACTTTCCAATGTCTATGTTGGGATTTTGTCTGCTTTGAGTTTGCATGGGACTTATGCATGCTTTCACCATTTCTGTGAGTTCATATGACTGACTAGTTATCTGGAAAACTCTTTTCCTTGTGGTCATCCACCACCTCTGGTTCTTACAGTCTTTTCCTCCCCATCTTCCACAATGATGACTGAGCCTTGGGAAGCAGAAATTTGATATCAGTGTTCCATTCTGGAATAAGCACTCTGCAACCTCTTGTTCTCTGCACATTGGCAAATTTTGATTTTCTGTGTTAATCACCATCTGCTCCATAAGGACATTTCTCTGATGAGAGTTGAGAATGCATTAATCTATGGGTATGACAATAAGTCATTAGGAAATGTTGACAAATTCTTAATGGAAATATCAAGTGAGAGGGCATATAGCTATAAACCTAGTAGTTTGTATGCTAAACAAGCTACAAGTCAGTATTTTGTGACCAAGATTTAGTTGGATTAAACTATAATTCCATTTACATTTAAATTTTTCTTTATTATTTGAAATGACTTAGTGGATTATGGTGACATGTCATTTTCCTACATAATTTTGTCATATCTTTTGTATACCATTTCTAATATAACCGCTTTACTGAGACATAATTCACACATGTACAAGTCACACATCTAACCTATAATGCTCAGTGGTTTTTGAATATTTTCAGAAATCTATAACCATTACCACAGGCAGGTTTGGAGTATTTCCATCACTCGAGAAACATATATATTCCTTAACAATTTCTCCCCACTTTCCCCCAACCCCCTAGCTGTAGGCAAGGAGTTTCTGGTTTCAAATTAACAATTAAAAGGATATTTATCAGAATTTTCTTGCCAAAATAAGATAAATAATGCAAGAATATTTTACATTTTTACCCCAAATAGTTAACCTTTTCATACAAGCTATCCTATTTCATTCTCAGTAAGCTTCTGAAGAGGAAGCCCTCTCTTATTATATAAATAAAAAAGTAAGATTAAGGAGTCTACACTGATATGCCAATTGATAAGTGAAGGTATTTAAGTCAACACTAATATTTTACACTGTATCATATGCTGTCAAGGTTAGCTTTCTTGGACAGATCTTTGAAGGTCATAGTTTAAAACTATTGTAGAATGTGCAAGACATTTTAAAGGTCTCTAATTTCTACAAGACTTAACTACCTAATAAACATTCTATCTGTTAACCATGATATCATTACTTTGTAGAATATCATTCAACAGGATGAGCTATTTTAAGCATGTGTTTATGCTCCCCTCACTCTGAAAAATCATCTTGGAAGTGATACAAGCTTTTATTTCTGGACCTCTGTATTAGCTCTTTAATGTTTTTTTTTTTTTTTTTTTCCAGGTAGTCTTCCAGTTGCAAAAGGAAGGTCTTCACAGAGCCCTGTAAACTTGCCCATTGTGTTTCACAATTAGGGCTCACATTAATGAGCAGTTATCATTTCACTAAAATATTGAGGGTAGAAACATTCAAATAACTTAAAGAAATTGTAATTGCTGTTAATTCACAGATAGTATATGATATTGCTGGAATTTAAACACTAGTTGTTAGACTCCCATTCTTGGGAGTCTACACTGATAGCATCATTATCCAGGCTTTGCCTCCAGCTAATTCACCACTGCACTTAGAACATGGAAACAAAAGTAGCCTTCTTGTTTCAAAGTGGCTGCTTTAGCCATTATTGGATAAATCAAGATCCTACCTCTAGTGAGACATTAAAAGCAGTGTGCCTCATGATTAAGCAATGAAAAAATCTGGCTTTAAAATCTTTTCTGACTCTTGAAAGTAATGAAACTAAGATTAATGTTTCTAACATATTTGAGATTGATAATAGGTAGCCACATACATTTTTCTTTCAATAGAACTGTGATTTTAGGAAAATAATGCTAATTATAAATTTTTATTTTATAGCAATATTTTAACAATATTTAAAGATAAAATGAATGTCTCTTACTGAGTTAAATACTCTTTAATAATTCTATTCAGAATTGAATCTTCAAAGCTCTTTTCCCCATTTGTTTTTCTGACTTTTATTCTTTTTAGAGAGTTGAACTGAGAATTGAATCTAGGGCCTTGCAAATGAGAGACAAGTACCACTGAGCTACATCCCTAGCCCCTGTTATTTTTTTTTAAGCATTTGATAGTTTTATATATATATATAATGACTTTTAGTCATTTTCACCTCATTATCCTCTTTTATTCCCCCCTTCTGCTGAAACCCTTATTTTTCCCAAGGAGGAGGAGGGTAGAGGGAGGAAGGGAGGAAGGGAGGGAGGGAAGGAGGGAGAGAGAGAGAGAGCCTCTGAGTTTAATTAGGGTTGTTTGCATGAGCATGGATGGTAGATTATTTAATAATACAATGACCACACCACTGAAGAATATGGTACCCTCTTCAACTGTTTACTGACCTGTCACCCTGTCACTCTTTTTTCATCAAAGGCTTTTGGGGTTTTTTTTTAATGTTTTATTATTTTCATTTTATGTGTATGAGTGTATTGCCTGAATAAACATAAATGCCTGAGGAGGTCAGAAGAGGGCGTTGTATCCCCTGGAACTGGAGTTATGAATGGTTGTTAGCCGCCATGTGGGTACTAGGAACCTAACCCAGTTCCTCTTCAAGAGTAGCCAGTGCTCATAACTGCTGAGCCATCTCTCCAGTTCCCTCATCAAAAGTTTTTGTCACATTTTCTTTAACCTAAGTATACAAAAAAATAGCTTGGTGTCTGTGGTTTGTATCTTTTTGATATTCTGTTTTAATCTGTGGAAACCAAGCAAGTATTGAAAGATAATTGCTCATTCATAAAAGTCTAAGACACACCTGAAATGGACTTAAGGGGTAGCTTTCCATTTAAAATTTTTCTAAAAATGTTAAATATAATACTGTT